GAATCTGATGCGATATCAACTAGCACGATATTTAATTCCCGTGGTACAAAAATTAAGATTTGGGTTAAACGATTTAAGGATCAATTGAGAGCATTCTTGATGGATCAAATTATGCTCACAGCTGCTGCCACTTACACGTGACCATGCAAGGATGAATTATCCTAGCTAAAGTGAAGACAAAATTAGCATGGATTAAACTGTTGGTTGGTGGAATTTGGATGTTTGCTTTAGACATTGGAGCAGCTCACGTGAAGATGAATTATTTGAACAATGATGCAAAGAAGTTGTTTCCGCCAGAGAGAAAGAAAACACAGCCACAGCAGCAAGGAAAGACCGAATGTTCAATTCCGTATGAGAGAAGGAACTCAGCGTGCGGCACATCCATTGGAATTTATTTATCTATTTAGTAGTTATTATATTAGTATTATGTTTTCTACTTAGTTTGGGATTTGTTTTCCTATTCCTAGAAGGTTAGATTTATGTTTTTGAGATCTCTATAAATAGAGGGTGTAAGAGCTACGAATTTTTATCCATTATTCAAGTTATCGACCAAAGTTGAGTTCTAGTTCATTGTGAACAAGTTCTTTGTGCAAGCTTCTGTCGAGAATCTCCAGGAGTTTCACATGTCTATTATCAACTTGAGAACGCGTCTAGTTGTGGCGAGCATCTACCAAATAATGATTGGCCTTATTCACGAGTGGGTGATTGTTTGATTGATTTCATATACCAATTGGCCTTTCACACGAGTTGGAATCTGTTTGATCCTGTTCCATATCTATCCTTTATTTCGAGTGTTCAAGTTCGAGAAAAGCTTCGAAAATCCTTAAAAAGAAGGAAGGATGCTTACTTTGGTCATATCATTCGAGTTCGAGGGTTCTCTTCGGAATTGGATCATATCAGGATCTAATGATGAAGGCCCACAAGGTTGTATTTCCACTTTTGAATTTGATCCAAATTCGGATTTGAACTACGTTTCACTAATTAATTAAGCATATTTTGTACAGGATGATGATGTGCTTGGTGGGTGGACTCTGAGCCAACATACATGTAAGCAAGGATCGTAGATGGTTCAAAACTTGCAAACCAGTGGAAGACGATTATGTTCTCCACATGGGCAATGAGTCAACTGCTCCAATCAAAGGACGTGGCATCGTGGAGTTGGGATTTACTTTTGGAAAGACTCTTGTAGTTAGGGATGTGTTACATGTACCTAAGATTAGAAGAAAAAATTTGGGTTTCGGAAGTGTACTAAATAAACTTGGCTATCGTCAAGTTTATGACTTTGGTAGATATGTATTATCAAAATCCTGAGTGTTTGTCGGATTTGGTTATTATAATAACGATATGTTTATGTTGAATATTATTATTAAAATTAAATATTGTTTCTGCTTACATGACTACCCTTATTGATTCGTCTTTATGGCATCCACGGTTGGGGCATGTGAATTATAAACGAATAATGACTATGTCTAAAGAAGGAAGGCCCTCTCCTTCGCTGCCTCCCGCTTCTTCGCCTCGACCTCCTCGTCCCGACTCTAAGGGAGTTGCGGCCTATGCTGGTTGAACCGTCACTCGGGGCCAAAGTTCGGGTGAGTAGGAAGCTTCCCATTGACGAGGCGGAAGTCCTCATCTCCAGCTCCGTCAGCGGCGGGGAAGAAATCATCGACGGTGAAGTCGAAAACCGAATTGGATGCATTCTTCCCGGCGTTAGGCCTTCTGGCATCTAGGTTGTTGCCAGTCCAGTCTGCGATTCGACCGAGCTTGTCGGCACGGGAGAAGAGAGCGAAGGGGACATTGAGCATAAATTAAGCTAGCACTTACCGCCTGAGGGAGCGAAGGGACGTACATTGAGGGAGCGAATGGCGAGACATCGAGAACACCATCGACGAAATCTAGATCAACGATTGGGAATTAGTGGATTTGGATTTGACGATTGGGTGTGGCGGAGAGTTCGCTGGTGGCGGAGAACAAGTTTTGGGTTTTTGTTTTTTTTAGTTGTGGAAAATAGGTGTAAAATTAAAAAGATTAAATTTTATTTTTTATTATTTTTTAATAGTCATATCACTCATTTAACGGTCAACTATGAATGTTGACTACCACATCAACAAAAGTTAACGGAGAGTGATCAAACTTGAACTATTGAATTAATGTTAGTGATCACGAATGATATTAAATACTTCTAGTGACTAAACATGAACGTTTTTAGTAAATCTAGTAACCAAACTTGCAATTTATCCATTTTTATTCATTTACTTTACGGATTCATTTCACATTTGCCTCTAATTGTGGGGTCGTTTGGAGATTTGGTCATGAATTCATTGAATTATAGATTCTAGGAGAATTTTTTTCACTGCTTTGTGACGCTTAATTAGTTCTGGCGCAACTCAGTTCGTTGACGAATAAGTCGATGTCACATACAAGCATGTATCTAAATGAGTTGTTTTCTGAACGAGCAGTTTGATTTATTTACATTTATAACCTAATGTTAGGCTCTTTTCAAAGTGTTAGACAAGTGGTTTTCTCCTGTTCTATTAATCCTCCAAATAATATATAGAGGTTCCTGTTGGGAACACCTTTAATTCAATTTTTGCTGGCTCTAGTGCATCTTACGGAAGGGTCTTTTGGTCGTTTCCCTTTTTAACTCTTATGTGCCGAAGATGTTATTTATTTGCTTCTGTAATTGACCAATGGCATTGTGTAACCAATAATCATGTTGTATTTAGGCTTTGATTGTAATGTTATTAAGAACACGGAACACGAGACACCTGGGATGTGCAGGTGCAACAAAATCAATGTTTTTAAAACCGGTTGAATGTTGAATCGAAAAAGTTAATGATTTATATTTCAACGGTTAATTATTATAGAAGCGTTGGTTAATCGGTGATAGAACCGTTCATGCGCTATAATGTAAAATACATATATAATACACTATTCTAAGGGTGAATTTATCACTACCTACAAAAAATTTCAAATTCATATCATTTATCACCAATAAGTTGGGAAATGAAAAAATGAAGCATAAAAGCGAATCACTTAAACCGGGGTGGTTTATATGGTTTTATGTCAACCGTGAAAAATAAAGCATAAAATGGATATTACCTTACAACTGCATTCATGCTACACCTATCAATCGAAATAATTGTTATAGAAGCGTTGGTTAATCGGGGATAGAACCGTTCATGCACCATAATGTAAAATACATATATAATACACTATTCTAAGGGTGAATTTATCACTACCTAAAAAAAAATTCAAATTCATATCATCTATCACCAAAAAGTTCTAACGAAGTATCCAAACTATCTCACAAAAAAAATCATAATTTTTTGCCAGCTTATTCAATATTTGGGTTTATTGACATCTAACACTCACTGGAAAAATTACCAGCAAGGAGGCTCCAACTAAAACTTCCCGAGTATGTAATTCTTTTTTATTTTCAGTTTAAAATAATATGCATTACGTTAACTCTAATTGCAAATCTAATATACCATTTGGAGGCAGGTGATTTGTCGTCAAGGTAACTCTCTTTGGTAGGATAGTTACCCAATTAAATGTCATTCTTGCAAATGCGGGAAACCTCCCTCTCTCCCTCTCATCTTGGTCATTACATCATTTTATGTCGTTCTATACAATGGTAAGGAAACATATTTATTATTTTGTTATTATTAATCAAACCATTTGAAAATAAATATGACATTCAATTCAATGATCGCTAAATTTGCAAGCGAGAAAACATTCTCCTCATCTGGAGCGATTTTACTGGTGACAAATCCAAGAATTTCAAAATTCATTAATTTTGGGCCAAGGTGAAATTCATGAGAATTTTATCACCGGATTTCGTTTCGCGTTATAAGTAGAAGTTTCAAATAGAAAAAGGGATTGCTTATCATTTTTTTTGTAAAGAAGTGCCCGACCAACTCTTACAGTGAAAGGCACGAAAGCATCACAACAACTAATTTCGACCAAAACACTGCAAACACTAAATCCATTAAAAATTAAGGTTGGAGAAGTGGTAAGTGTCAATTTTGATTTTATGACCCATTAACTATCAAATGTTAACATTTTATATAATGTGTAGGGAAATATCTTCTATGTTAAAATCAAAGTTATCAAAGTTAAGAAGGGTAGTATTATGTTGGATGTGAAACCTGTCCACAAAAGTATAAGTTTCTATTGTTTTTTATGTCACTGCTAACTTTAGGATTCATCTTCGAGTTGTGGACAAAACTACTGAGGCTAACTTTATAGTTATGGATCGAGTGGGAGATGGATTTTTTGGAATGCGGATTGAAAGGTTATTCTAAGACAACGATAGAATGAGAGGATTACCACCGGCTCATCTCCTAGAAGTTGAGGGAATGACCCCTAAACCATATCATACTGGCAACCGTCGAAAAAATCCGGGGAGCCGCTTACCATAGACTCATCCAACCAATCAAAACCTACTCCGATCCACATATTTTGGAAAAAAATCCTAAGAAGAAGTAAATAAAATCGTACATTCATTTTTGACACCTTATATTGTAGTTCGATATCAAGCTCACATAATACATAGTTAATCAACAAGTACATGATTTCTAGGATAGCGAAGGATCAGAAGAGTAGAACTCAGACGGTATACCATGAGTAAATTATACTTAGTTATGTACTTCGTGGTTGTACTGTTTAAGCATTTAATTCTATAACTTAAAACTCCAGAGGAACTTTCATTTATTACCCAATAGCATGCATGCAATTGTATACTTGGTTGTATTATCAAGTGTATACGTATTGAATTTTTATACCATGTTAACAAAACATACGGAGAATTGAGAAACCATTAACACCAAAATTTATTGTGTATTTAAACTAAATGAGAAATCACCATAATTTTTTATCAGTTTTTACTACTCATTCATACTAGTGTTTTTATAAAATACTAGTTCAACTCGGTTGTACCGGCCGACATATATAGGAGTGGTTTTGACAACCATCAACAAAAAAAGAGATTAATGTAAGATCTGCTAATTTGGTTGTTCATTTTCAAGTGATTGTAAGCTGGTACTCTGTTTCAAATGACTTCAACTAAACAACACCCTTAGCTGGTTTCCATTTTTTGCCATCGCTTTCCAGGTTTGTGAATGGAAGGAAGATTACAAGCTGACATGAAAACTCTCCATCTGTCCATCTCTCGCTTATTCCCCTACCATCTCTACAACTGATCATCAAAGTTGTCACCACTACTACTACTATCACTACTACAGACGTAAGCCGTCCTGCACATAGGACAGGACGCGTTCCTCACCAGCCACTTATCAAGACACTCCAAATGGAAGCAGTGGCCACAGCTGGGCACTTCCCTCCCCGCCTCCCCTGCTTCCACGTCCTGCAGGCAGATGGAGCAGCACAGCGGTCTGCTCGATTTCTGGAACGTGAAGTGAGGAAGAGCTTGGATGCAATGCTGAGGCAGGCCAGTAGTTGCAGCAGCAGTGTCGTCGTAGATGTCAGCAGCCATTTCTCTGTAGGTGGTTTCCATGGCCATCATCTGAAACTGGTAGGCTTTCAGCACAGCTGGGCCGACCCACTCCATGAACACCTTCCCACTCACCACGCTGTGCAGTAACGCCACCTGCAAGCACGCACGCACGAGATTGGATATTAAATGTAAAGCCCCAACTCCGCCCGTGGTATTGTGTATATATCGAGGGGGGGAAAAGCGATGGATTGGAAGACAAGAAAGAATGGCATTTAATCTGGTGAAGTTTATATGCATAGAGGAATGGATGGAAGGTGTCTTTAATTAATAGATGGTGGCAATTACATATTACCTACCCAACTTCACCACCACTAGCCTCTAATCAACGCACCACTAGGCTAGCTACCACACTTCAATCCAACTAGTCACTAGCAAGTAGGGATGTCTATTCGGATTAAAGCGAAACAGATAAGGTGTTCCTATAGGTTTCGGTTTTATTCAAAATCAAAAAATTTGATAAAAAGCCTTAAAACTATAACCCCAATACACAAACACTCATTACTCAATTAGTTCGATTTTCTATTCCTTGAAACCAATTCGAAGTGTTAAGAGGTCTTAACGGTTTTAATCTAAATGGTTCGTTCGGTTTCAAAGAAATTTCTTGTTCTGCTTTTTTCAATTGGTTAAATTATGGTTCGGTTTAACCGAACCGAATAAATATCTCACCCTAATAGCAAGCTAGTGGCTGCTCTAATTAAACACTGGACACCCATATATGTCACATTCCCACCCCCTGTTTTAGGGCATACCCAAAAATGGACTCATAATTATTATGCTTCCATATGGCAAAGCTATCAAACATGAAATAGGAGTCCCCATTTCCCTATCCATTGATTAAATTTGACCAAAAAAAAAAAAAAGACAATAAATATCGAATTGGATATTGATTGAATGATTAATTGTAGAGTTGCTGCTCATAAATATAAGGGACGATGCATGCATACATGGTGGCCCAGTAGTCCCTAGCTAAGTTCATCATAATACGTTTACAAAGAATGGGCCAAATTTAACCACAACCCTGATTGCCCAACATCATCTATCCATCAACTGGTTGGTTGATGATTTAGTAATGTTGCAGAAACCCTATCGTAACAGTCAGCCGAAACGAAAATATCGGACACCAAACTCAAAATGATAAACAGTTTTAACAACAAACTATTAATGAACTAGAATTAAAATTCGATTTTAATACAAAATATCCTACCACATGCAATGACTTTCGGTACCGTTGTACATACCTTGGACAGGGGCTCGCCGTCGGCAACGGATTCGAGGAGCTGAACAGAAGTAATGGCGCCAGCAACCGCGCCAATGATGGAGCCGCGGAGGAAGCCTGTCTCTGTCGTCTGGCCCTTCATGGCTCCCAACACTGTTCCCACCACAGCACCTCCTGCTCGCATTCCATACCATTTAATCAATTGAATTCAATCCAAATGTGAAAGCTGTATTGTTACTGCTGACAACAGTGAATTCCAATTGGGGTTTTTGGTTTGGTGCCTTTATTATTTCTCTCTGCACTTTGGCAGCTGCTCTACCGCCATTGGTGTTCTCTCTGTGTGTTAGGTTAGGTTTGTGTATATGATAAATACCAAAAATGGGGTTGCTGCTGTGCTGTGCTGAGCATGCACTGTCTGCCCCCCTGGCCTACCATAATGGGATTGGGGGAAAAAAGGGGTTGGCCAACTCATTCATTGATTCAACACACTCATGTCCCGCTTCCTTCAATTCTATAGATATTTTGGATCGATCTTGTCACATAATTATTATACAATAAAATAAGAGAATTCAAAACATACAACTAATTTACTTGGATTTTCTCAAAGATCCTAATAATTCATGGATACTATATCTTCTAGTATTTAAAGACTACAAAAAAGTATACATTATGGAAATCTAATAAAACCATTAATTTAACTAAATTATATGACCTCTCAGGTACTTAATTTGATAACTAAATTGTTTTTTATTGGACATTCGATAAAATTGGAACCAAAACGGAATAAGTTAGATCTCCACATAGTTGAAAGTATCGAAAAGTAGAAAACGTACGTAACTGTTGACTCAACAATTAAATTAACTTAGTTAGTTTTTGGATATTTGCTATCAATCGGTTACCGATTTCGAACTCTGGACCTCCAAATGTACGTGGGTTCAACCAGCTCTCAACCGGTCCAAGAGAGAAGAAGAATGTAGTAAGCTAAGGGAGGTATGTATGTACCTAATGCAATGATGCAGGTGAAGGAAGCGAGGAGAATGCTGGTTAGTAAGGCTGGGACGCTAACCAGGATCCCTCCAAGTGGAGGCTCCATCGTCAATCCTCCAAAACCCCACAAAGAAGCTGCAGCTTCTCTGCATTTGCTGCACACCTGATTCATCTCTCTCAACCACCTCTGCAATACCATCATCATCATCGATCAATCTTTCCTTTTCTGTGTCCAGCAAGTTGAGTTTCTTTCTTTTCAAGGCTCAGGAAGGAATACAAATGTAGTAGCTAGTAGTACTACAGCAGCTAGAAAGGACTGAGATTTTGCAGTGAAGAGGGAGTGTGGAGAAATGGAGCTGATGAGCCTGAATGGAGGAGGAGGGTATTTATTAGGTTGAAAGCAAGAGTGAGTGTGCGCATTTATGATTTGATCATAATAAAGGGTTGCTGATAATAATAGTGAGAAGAGGCAAAGCAATAACTATGGAGGCCCCTCGGCTAGGGCTAGTAGGCTCTGGCGCCAATATGGACGTCCAATTTTCATATTAATTGCTCCTCTCTAGCTAAGACCGCGACCCCTCTAGCACATAGTTTCGCTAGTCTTCTTCCAACACATACAGCGGCGGGCAGCATTGGTTAGGGGATGATGATGGCTTCGTTGTAGTCTTCACACTGAACTAATTAGGAGGAGGTTCGATCACCCATGTATGATCTCAGGATTGTTTCGTGTTTGAGGGTTTGGAAGATCGTTATGCGTGAAGATGTAGCCAAACTAGCTACAACATCCACATTAGTACGTGGAGTCTTTGACAAGTTCGCCTTGAGCTAGCTACCATTCCTATTAGGGGCTCGAACTGTGTCATTGATTGCCTAACAGAGATACATACGTCACAAATTATTGTATGGTTACACATGTGTTTAGACACCGTGTTATTCTCTTTATTATTGCCTTATTTTGATCTGGTTGGGGTTCAAAACTCTCATTGTTAAATTAAAATACACTTTACACACGCTTCCTTCAAAAAATAAAAAATAAAAACAAAAAGACATAGAGCATCATCAATTCTGCTATGTTCACCTGCTCGACGAAGATGGGTAATTACTGATGCAATTCTTCTTTGTCTGCAATGGGAAGACTGATAAGAGATCGGATCGAGTTTGTCCTGCCGTGACACATAATTCACTGTTTTTCCTCCATTATTTTGTTGACTCTTTCAACGTTCTTCACCAAACGGGTACTTTTGATCGAGAAATGTAAATTTGTAACCTGCATATTTGTTTTGTTGTGTATTTTTACTAGTTTAGAAAGAAGTATGCACGGTTTATTTGGTGGGCGTGGAACGTTGGTTGCTCAAAATTAGCCGTATAGGGCCTAGCATTTTTTATTAACTTTTTAGACCCAATTGGGATACTGGGCCTCAACGTTGGTTGCTCAAAATTAGCGCCCAGCATTTTATATCAACTTTTTAAGCCCAAAATGGTGATGATAAAACAGTCCAAACCCGTTTGCTCTTTGAAAATTCTTAATGGAAGATTGGAAGCCCTTGTTTTTTTCTGTTTCTTGCCCCTAATTGTGTTTATCTATTATAATGTGATTATTCATGTTAAGCTCTCTGTATTTGGAAATAATAGAGTCAAGAGGGCAATGAATTATTGGCTTGCAAAGTGACAAGTTGCCAGGTCGCAACTTCATTTGTTGTTTGCTAATATTAATTACTTTTATTATAATTATATATTATTATGGTCATTATCTCTTTCAGACTTTCACTACGCTGACAGGCACCTAATTATTATTAATCAAGAAGAAGAGGAATTTCATACTCTAAACTAATACAAAATCTCATGATTCACAATGATGGTTGGACCGCGTTTTAGCTGGCCTGTACTGGTGGTGTATGCAGCAAAAGCGACGCACACATTTGGCAGTGAAGCAATTCCAATAGCCAACACACCAAACAGAAAATGGGTTCTCTATCTTTTTCCATCGCCAGATTGCACGAGCAAGCCTAATCACCAACACAAACTCAGGAAAAATATATAAATCCGGTGTTTGGAGCTTGTATCATGATTCATGATCTAGCTAGCAAGGGGGTGATTTGGATGTCGGGTTTTGGCGGTGGATTTGAGCATCAAATTCATCAACAAGTGCTTCCTAAAAAAAGAATAGAAAGGTTTCGACTTTATGAACACGAAAATCAACAACGACACAAATACACGAATGCGTGAATTTAAAGAACCCTCTCCCTAGCTACATGTAATTTCTCTAAAATACTATCCTCTCACGATCAATATCGTATGTTCAAATGCAGAGCTGAAGCAGAAGAAACAGAAGGAACCCAAGACAGCAAAACAAACAAAACATCCTCCAGAAGAGACATAGAGCAGCAACAACAGCAGCAGCATCAGGCCATCAGCAGGAGCAACAGTAGTATCATCAACAGCAGCAACAGTAGCAGCAGCACCCTCAAACTCAACAGCAACAACAACAACACAAGCAGACGCATACAGTTCATTAACATAGCCACTGAGCACAACTCTAGGAACCAGCTGATCTTTCAACTTCCTCATCCAATCCTCCGCAACGAATCTATCAACCTTCTCATTAGCACACAACCAGTCCGCCATAGCACGAGCGATTCGAAGGCAGACCACGTTCACTGTTTCCACCTTGTCTCTAAAAATCCTGCTATTCCTAAAAGTCATTGGTTCATGTTGATGTATCTAAAGATAAAGCGGCTAGGTTGGGGGTGATAATTCGAGATAGGGAGGGAAGATTTAAGGTGATGAGTGACGACAATGAAGAGTAGAGTGACGTGGAAGCTTGAGATCGTAGAAGCAATGACGATGAGTTATGGGTTAGAAATGACGAAGCGTTTTCATTTTGCTAGGGGGAAGTTGAATCAGATTGTCATATGCTCATCGATCAGGGGAGTTGAGGAGACAGGATCAATCCACGCTCCAAGTAGGCCAAGTCTGCGAAGAGATTAGAAACATGGACCAATTCTTGGATCACATGGAGTGAAGTTTTGTGGGCTAAGAGGGCAATAAACCACCTCATATTATGATCCACATTGATTATTTACTCATACGAGGAAGAAGTTTGTATGGATAGACCACCAATTTTTCTAGTATATTCTCGGAGACATGTTTTGCTCCAAATACATTATTCTAAATGACATGTAAATATTGCTATATATATAAAAAAACACTTCCTAGGGATATGCCGAGAAGAAATGACACATGCATCTTGATTTTCGAACACTGAAAAGACATAGCCAGCTTCCTTTTGGATCGATCATATTCACCGCAGAGTTTTCTCTCAATTAGGAATAGCAAAACCAATCTGTGACTCTAGTTTGACCTTGTGTGGTTCTTACGACAGTCTGTTTCTTCTTTGGGATGGGTTTGGCCGATCCGTACACAAGCCAGAGCATTGTGTTTGTCAGATTGTTTATTAGAAAAATCAGTTTCATGATGTATAGAGAAAAGTTTGAGCTTGTACCAAAAAAATAAAAATAAAAGTTGGAGCCCCTGTCCGTTGTCGGTGCAATGTCTCTGTCCATGGTTATTGAATTAATATGGGGTGATAATGTGAAATGGGAATATTGTCTTTTAAATAATATTTTATTATCCTAAAATTTATAATAAAAGGGTAAAGATTATAAAGCAAATACCATTAGAAAATTCGAATTATCCAAAAAGTGTCATTTGTGTGCCAAACTATTCAATATGACAATTATGTCCTAGATTATTTTTCTGTTAGTGTTGACCGAGTTTGACCGTCAATATTTAACAGAAAATCCATTCAGCGGTGACGTGGCGTCTGAAATGAAGTTTTAATTTTAATTTATTTTTCTACGTCACTTAGTAAAATGAATAAAATAGAACATAAAATGTCTCCTACCTCTGTCGCGCCACGCCATTCCTCCCGTATGCTACTCCAGCTGCCGACGCTAACAGAGTTTCGACTACCGTCTTCTCTCCGGTATGGTCTCTCCGTCTTCTCTCCGCGATCCACATCCCACTAGCAGCCAAATCGAAGAACAAAGGCAAAGGGACGCTACCTTTCGTCTACCTGCCGCAACAGCTTCCTCGTACACCCTTAACCCCCGCCCCTCCTAACCCATGAAAAGCAGCAGTGATCGCTTGAACGTAGTCGTAACCGTCAATTTCCTCCTCAATATGTCATTAGACAGAGTCGACAGAGTAGTGAGTAGGTGGCTAGCTATGAGGGATTTTCATAATTGGATCTTCTATTGTGAAACAACCCGATCTTTTTCGAAAAACCAAATCATAACTTAAATCGAAAATCGGTTACTCCGGAGCAACCCAAACCACACTTTAAAGTCAAGTCAAAAATCATCACACGGTATTATTCAGAAATATCAACCAAAAGCCCAATGTTGTTAAAACCGAACCAGAGTATTAACCGATATATTTAATGGTTCGCACTTTATTGGTTTAACCAATATTTAGCCGTTTAAAAATCGTTAATAAACCTCATATCATAAATAAAAGTATTATACCATTTCTATAAAAAAATATATGGGCCCAAAACTTTTAAAAAGCCCTAGCGACTAAATCATACTTCTAAAAAATATATGGGCGCAAGATTTCTAAAAAACCCTACCCTACCCTACCTCACCCATGACCCATTGTCGTCCCTCTTCTTCTTTCTTTCCCATTCCGCCACCCCTCTTCTTTTTCTTTCCCATTATGTCACCCCTTCTTCGTTTGATAGAAACAACGCCACCATGACCATTATGCCGCCCCTTCTTCTTCTTCTTCTTCTTCTTCTTCTTCTTCTTCAGTTTACTTTTTTGTTCGACAGAGAGAACGCAGGCAGTGGTAGAGCATCAACATCTTTCTCGTTCCTCCGTCCCCCGTCAGTTGTGTTCCGACTAGATTTGGAGAGATAGTTTTTTTTTGTTTCAGGCGGCCAGATACCGAAAATCGATCGGACGGTTCGATCAGCTCGCGTGGTTATCCGCCTCGACCGCTCGCCGACCACCAAAACTAACCATTGCGGCTATTTGACTGTCCCGAACTGGTTTGGCATCCGGGTGCCAGTTTTACCGGTCGGGTCGGTCTTGATAACACTGCAAAACCCCTAAGCACTTGGGCAAATTTCAATCCAAAATACTTAAACATAAACATTGAGTTTCCCAGTATACTCATAAGACACGATATAAAGACAACTATGATAGATGAGTCCCTTCTTGTTACCCTGAGCCTTCCGGCATCTTCAAGCTTGACGCGGCTGGTTTCCACGGATAACCTCTCTTTGATGGATACATCCTCTTCTCCTTTTCACACCCGATAAGTGAGAAGAGTCCAGTCTCGTCGTTACTTACTAAGCTCTTTGCCCCAAGCAAAACCTTACTAACACATTA